CTTCTCGTAGAAAACACACACACACACACCACACCCACACACCACACACACACACCACCATAATCGACACAAGTCTTATTAAAGACAATAATTCACTGCCCCAAAGTGAAAAAAATAGCATAATCCACCCCAAACAATCGTAGAAGATTAACCAGGTCGTTAGCTGTCGCTAGCGACTGTTTGGCCGGAATGTAAAGACAGCGAGGCTCTCACAAGGACCTATATCGGTGTCTTGTTAATCGTCTTCACAATCAGGCTCGGCTCCCTCTACCAGCCACGGGGGGAAAGCACTCACCTCGTCTCGTCTGCTATTGTAAATGTTGATTACAGAATTGCTTGTAAATTATCGACGGGGGACAGACGGGTGTGAGTCGTGCTCCGAGGCTACAAGGCTGGTGTAGGCCGTGCTCCGAGGCTATACGGCTGGTGTAGGCCGTGCTCCGAGGCTATAAGGCGGGTGTAGGCCGTGCTCCGAGGCTATAAGGCGGGTGTAGGCCGTGCTCCGAGGCTACAGGCGGGTGTAGCCCGTGCTCCGAGGCTATAAGTCTGGTGTAGGCCGTGCTCCGAGGCTACAGGCGGGTGTACGCGTAGCCTCGCGGTACGTTTGGTGGATTTCCTAAAAGTCGCTGAAAAAGAAGTCGAACTTCACTTGGACTTGAAGACGAGGAAAAGTTGACGTGATTTGATCCCTTTATGTAATTTCATCCACCAGGAGGCACTCCCGGCGTGGAGGCACTCCCAGCCCGGAGGCACTCAACTGAATAGAGAGAAGTTCGTTCTCACATTCAAGTCCTATACAATTCTACTTTTCCAGTCTCTTCCAATAGTCTCATTTTGACAGTTTTTCCCGCCCGTCTCTCCCGTCCCGTCCACAGGCTGCAGACCAAATTGAGGAAAGTTGAAACTTTAATTTGCATGTCACTAGTTTTTATTTCCCTCCTTGCCTCTACGTTGAATCCAATACTCTCCGGGTGAAATCCGACCCCACAATCCAGGGAAGGTCGTACAGGTTACAAAAAGTGGCTGAAACACTTCCGAGTCTTCACTTATCTTCTGTCTTCACTTTTCTATGACGCACGGACTAAGAAGAAAGAGATTAGGACATGGCAGAAGCTATACCAGCAAAACAACGCATAAATGTTCCAAAGAAGGCCGATAGAGCACTAGGATTCATGTCTAAGAATGTTGGTAATATAAACTCCCCCTCTCCCTTTCTCTCTCTCCTCCTCTTTCCCACCCCCTCTCCTTGTTCACCTCTCTACCCCTCTTAACCCTCCCCCACTTCTCTTACATCTTCACTACGTACTATTTTCGTCACCATATCCATGCATCATCCTTACTCACTATTTTCATCATTGTAACCCGAATGAATTCGGTCCATCGTTGTCGAGTAACTTTTTTTATATTTTTTAATATATTAGGTACATGTGCATTTGTACAGCTTCCCTAGACTATATGAAAGGGAGTACAGCGTGTCAAAAAGCTAGCTACGTGATGCTAAAAAGTCCTCATCACACAGGATGGTTAGTCATACAGGGTCATATGTTCAGTAGTCTGCACTGGTAGACTCCGGATGCATCATCTATCTTGAGGTTATCTTGAGATGATTTCGGGGCTTTTAGTGTCCCCGCGGCCCGGTTCTCGACCAAGTCTCCACCCCCAGGAAGCAGCCCGTGACAGCCGATTAACACCCAGGTACCTATTTTACTGCTAGGTAACAGGGGCATAGGGTGAAAGAAACTCTGCCCATTGTTTCTCGCCGGCGCCTGGGATCAAACCCAGGACCACAGGATCACAAGTCCAGCGTGCTGTCCGCTCGGCCGACCGGCTCCCCGGTATCATATCATGAGGATATCATCAACACAAGAGTGAATAAGGCAGCAGTGGTAATACAAGTCCCCATCTCGCAGGATGGTTAGTCATACAGGGCCATATGTTCAGTAGCCTGCACTGGCAAATTTTGGGTGTAATATGAGGATATCTTCAAGAACACGAGAGGTAATAAAGTAATTGCAAAGCTCCAGGTACCTCATGCCAACTGGTCTGAAAGGTCTAATAACTGGGCATTCGGTGATGTAGTGTGGGAGATCATGCCACAGTTCCTGCTCTGACTCCTGAAAATCCACGGTAAACTCTACGGAAATCTTATTGCTGATTTCATTGCAGACTTGGAGTCTAATGGGTATTGAGGGTCCAAGGTTCGAACCCTTTCTTGAGGAGGAGTTTTCCTAATTCAATTAACTTGTGATTTATGCAAGTATAATATATATATATATATGTATATATTCTGCCCCAAAGAATGTGGTGATTTGATAAAATACCATGCCCAAGATTGCCAACCGAGTGCCGGCGGGGGGGATGGAAATAGCCTCGGCTACCATCCTCTTTTGCCCGGTCGTGTTGGTCGAGCGGTTAAGGTATCCTGCACGCCAGTAGAGTGCTCCTGGCAGTATCACTTCTTGGCTGTGAGTTTTCAGATATATATATATATATATATATATATATATATATATATATATATATATATATATATATATATATATATATATATATATATATATATATATATATATATGTATGGAAGACGAAGAGCATTTTTAGCAGCAATTCCGTTTTGAAGTTTTCCCCAGTGGTGAGATGGGCAGCCAGATATTTGAGTCTCCCCGGGGACCTGTAAAACATACTGGGATAAGAATATTCCGCCGTGGAATATCACTCCCTGTCCCGGCTCACAACAGACGAGTGTATGTACCCTCCACCCCGTCCCCTCGCCTTCCCCAACCCCTCACAGATTCTCTCTTTCCCTCAGTTTCCCCTCAGTCTCTTCCAACACTCCCTCACTCCCTTTCCCTTCCCTTCCAGGCTTACTCCAGTAACACCAGCCTAAGAGAAGCGAGGACCTCATTGTAATTATTTTGTTTTTCTCCTCCCTTTCTTAATACCTCTCTCTCTCTCTCTCCCCTTCCTACTTTCACTCCTTCTTCACTCTCCATTCCATCAGTATTATTATTTATTTATTTCCTTCCCTCCTTTCATACATTTCTCCTTTATCCCCTCTTTCCTTCATTCCATTTCTTCCTCCCTCCCTACCAGAAAACCCCCTCCCTCCCTACCAGAAAACCCCTCCCACCCTACCAGAAAACACCCTCCCACCCTACCAGAAAACCCCCTCCCTCCCTACCAGAAAACCCCTCCCACCCTACCAGAAAACACCCTCCCTCCCTACCAGAAAACACCGCCCACATCACGCGCGCCAACTTATCAATAGCCAATCAGCCTTGTTCCAAATACCGTTTCCAAACTCATACAAAACATTTCGGGCGCCCGGAGAGCCATTCAGACGTATTCAACACCTCTCTATCTTTGACCTTTCTTACACTTTCCTCTGACCTTACCTTAGAAATTCACCAACAAATTGAATTCCTTAAAACTTCGCTGGGATATATACGTTAAATAATTGCTCTAAATGTGTTTGATTTTTTTGCCTTATATTCTCATCACTAAAGAAATTTTAATGACTCTTAATAAGAATACAAACTTAATGATTCACAAGTTTTACTGAACGAGAAACATATTCATAGTCCCTGCATCTGTCTGTCTGTCTGTCTGTCTATCTGTCTCTCTCTCTCTCAGGAGCCAGAGAGGGCATTAGTGAGCGAGTCAGGCAGCTGGCCCTAGAGGGGAAGTAGAGCTGACCTGACTTGTCGATGTTTCCCCTCTCTCTCGTTAGTCGATGGGAAGGTTAGGTTAGGTTGGAGGGGGTGAAGGGAGAGGGGAGAAGGGGGGATGGAGGACACAGAGGTAGATGAAAGGCGGATGGATGGAGGTAGATAGAGGTAGATGGAGGAGGTTGATGAAGGGGAAGAAACGGTTGATGACAGATGGAAAGAGGATAGCTGGTTGAAATGCCCCTGTGTGTTCTGGTGTGTGTGTGTGTGTGTGTGTGTGTGTGTGTGTGTGTGTGTGTGTGTGTGTGTGTGTGTGTGTGTGTGTGTGTGTGTGTGCGTGTGTGCGTGTGTGTGTGTGTGTGTGTGTGTGTGTGTGTGTGTGTGTGTGTGTGTGCTAATGCCATAGCCCGTGCTACTTGCCCCGCTCCTGTGCCAGGTAAGTCCACTACGGGCTCACCATAGCCCGTGCTACTTTTGTTCCAAGTAGCGAATCTTAGACAACAACAACATGGTGTTCACAGCTCCTTAAAGTTACCCACGAGTGTAATAGGAGAGACCATTTAAGGTCAACGCGATTAATTTCACTAAACAATTAAGTTTTCCTTACAGGTCTTGGCCATGTGGAAGATGAGGGGCGGAGGTACACCCCAGGAGGCGTGAGGGGGCGGAGGTACACCCCAGGTGAGGTGAGGGGGCGGAGGTACACCCCAGGTGAGGGGCGGTGGTATACCCCAGGTGAGGGGTGAGGGGGCGGAGGTACACCCCCCAGGTGAGGGGGCGGAGGTACACCCCCCAGGTGAGGGGCGGAGGTACACCCCAGGTGAGGTGAGGGGGCGGAGGTACACCCCAGGTGAGGGGCGGTGGTATACCCCAGGTGAGGGGTGAGGGGGCGGAGGTACACCCCCCAGGTGAGGGGGCGGAGGTACACCCCCCAGGTGAGGGGCGGAGGTACACCCCCCAGGTGAGGTGAGGGGGCGGAGGTACACCCCAGCTGAGGGGCGGTGGTATACCCAGGTGAGGGGTGAGGGGGCGGAGGTACACCCCCCAGGTGAGGGGGCGGAGGTACACCCCCCAGGTGAGGGGCGGAGGTACACCCCAGGTGAGGGGGCGGAGGTACACCCCAGGAGGGGTGAGAGGGGGAGGTACACCCCAGGAGGGGACGGGCTAGCCACCCCAGACCACCCCCCAGCGCCAGGCAGGTATATACAAGTTAATCACCGAGCCTTGGAGACCCATGTGTACCCGTCTCAGCCTCGCGTCTCAACGTGGCGCGGGCCATAAGCAGACACTACCCGCTAATATAGCACAGGTTCCTGTCACTGTTACCGGGGGTACCGGGGGCTACCGGGGGCTACTGGGGACTACCGCCGCTAATAAAAACGTCGCTGGCGGTGCGCTGCGTCTCTGTTTTTTTTCTGGCTTATCGCAGCGACAGTCTAGGAGGCTTGCTGACTAGTAGATGGGGCGGGGTGTATGTGTGTGTGTGTAGGTGTATGTGTGCATCTAGATGTGCTTGCAGGGGTTGAGCTCTGGCTCTTTGGTCCCGCCTCTCAACTGTCAATCAATGTACTCACCAACTTGTGCCTGCAGGATCGAGCGTTGACTCTTGGATGTGTACTCATCTAGTTGTGCTTGCGGGGGTTGAGCTATGGCTCTTTGGTCCCGCCTCTCAACTGTCAATCAACAGGTGTACAGGTTCCTGAGCCTATTGGGCTCTATCATATCTACACTTGAAACTGTGTATGGAGTCAGCCTCCACCACATCACTGCCTAATGCATTCCATCCGTTAACTACTCTGACACTGAAAAAGTTCTTTCTAACGTCTCTGTGGCTCATGTGGGTACTCAGTTTCCACCTGTGTCCCCTTGTTCGCGTCCCTCCCGTGTTAACGAACAAGGGGACACAGGTGGAAACTTAGTACCCAAATGAGCCACAGAGACGTTAGAAAGAATTTTTCAGTGTCAGAGTAGTTAATAAATGGAATGCATTAGGCAGTGATGTGGTGGAGGCTGACTCCATACACAGTTTCAAGTGTAGATATGATAGAGCCCAATAGGCTCAGGAATCTGTACACCAGTTCATTGACAGTTGAGAGGCGGGACCAAAGAGCCATAGCTCAACCCCCGCAAGCACAACTAGATGAGTACACATCCAAGAGTCAACGCTCGATCCTGCAGGCACAAGTTGGTGAGTACATTGATTGACAGTTGAGAGGCGGGACCAAAGAGCCAGAGCTCAACCCACACACACACATGTGGTGGAGGCTGACTACATACACAGTTTCACACAAAAGCGGAAGAGAACATCTTTCCCCTTTCCGTTTGTACCTGGCCTCCCTGTCCCGCCTGTGGAAGAGGGAGAGTGTAGTGTACACCCGGAGTAAACAGGGGGGCTGGCTCCCCCTCTCTTTTGTGTACAGACAGACGGCCTGGCGGGGGTGTTCAGACCCCTACACACCCCCCTCCCCTACTCTCATCTCTCCCATCACCCCTTTCCCATAGCCACACCCCCCCCCTCCTCTCCCTTCTCTCCCCCTCCCACATCTCTAGTGCTACTGAGCGTATTTTGTCCACGACCGTCTGGACTCTCCACCGGACTCAAGCCTTCTATCATGCTTGTATCTCTCATTCTCCATCACTATAGAGTCCCTATCTCCATCACTATCCTCATCCTTCTCACTATCCCTCATCCTCCAACGCTATTCCTTTATCCTCCTCACTATTTCTCATCACCCAACCGCTGTTAATCCTCATCAGTTTATCCCTGGAGGACATCTCCCACCCCACCTTACCCTGGGGGGGGGGGAACATCTCCCACCCCACCTTACCCTGGGGGGACATCTCCCACCCCACCTTACCCTGGGGGGGGGGGAACATCTCTCACCCCACCTTACCCTGGGGGGGGGGGGGGACATCTCCCATCCCACCTTACCCTGGGGGGGGGGGAACATCTCTCACCCCACCTTACCCTGGGGGGGGGGACATCTCCCACCCCACCTTACCCTGGGGGGACATCTCCCACCCCACCTTACCCTGGGGGGACATCTCCCACCCCACCTTACCCTGGGGGGACATCTCCCACCCCACCTTACCCTGGGGGGACATCTCCCACCCCACCTTACCCTGGGGGGACATCTCCCACCCCCACCTTACCCTGGGGGGACATCTCCCACCCCACCTTACCCTGGGGGGGAACATCTCCCACCCCACATTACCCTGGGGGGACATCTCCCACCCCACCTTACCCTGGGGGGACATCTCCCACCCCACCTTACCCTGGGGGGGGGAACATCTCCCACCCCACCTTACCCTGGGGGGACATCTCCCACCCCACCTTACCCTGGGGGGGGAACATCTCCCACCCCACCTTACCCTGGGGGGACATCTCCCACCCCACCTTACCCTGGGGGGGGGGAACATCTCCCACCCCACCTTACCCAATATGACAGGTGGAAGCCAACTTGTGGGTCAAGGCAGCTACTCAAGGCTCCTTCCTAGCAGTTCCTTCTCTTCCTTCTCTTGGTGTCCTTCCATCTTACACCTTCTCCTTTCCTTGTCTTCCTCCTCCTCCTTTCCCTCTGACTCCCCCCCCCCTTCTTTCCCTGGCCGTCACGTGACTATCTGAACCATCACCACGTCGAGGCAAGGGGACTATCAGGGGGAAAGCGCCAAGTCATTCCGATTATATAGCACTGGAAAGGGGTCAGGATAAGGATTTGGGATGGGACGGGGGAAAGGAATGGTGACTAGCCGCTTGGGGACGGTCGGGGATTGAACGCCGACCTGCATGAAAAGAGATCGTCGCTCTACCGTCCATCCCAAGTCACCACGTCAAGGCAACAATTAAGTTCTAACATTGACCACAGAACGTAAACACAACCAAACTCAACCATTGACCACAGAACGTAAACCCAACCAAACTCAACCATTAACCACAGAACGTAAACCCAACCAAACTCAACCATTGACCACAGAACGTAAACCCAACCAAACTCAACCATTAACCACAGAACGTAAACCCAACCAAACTCAACCATTAACCACAGAACGTAAACCCAACCAAACTCAACCATTAACCACAGAACGTAAACCCAACCAAACTCAACCATTAACCACAGAACGTAAACCCAACCAAACTCAACCATTAACCACAGAACGTAAACCCAACCAAACTCAACCATTAACCACAGAACGTAAACCCAACCAAACTCAACCATTAACCACAGAACGTAAACCCAACCAAACTCAACCATTAACCACAGAACGTAAACCCAACCAAACTCAACCATTAACCACAGAACGTAAACCCAACCAAACTCAACCATTAACCACAGAACGTAAACCCAACCAAACTCAACCATTAACCACAGAACGTAAACCCAACCAAACTCAACCATTAACCACAGAACGTAAACCCAACCAAACTCAACCATTGACCACAGAACGTAAACCCAACCAAACTCAACCATTAACCACAGAACGTAAACCCACCATTTAAGATGACCAGACTAGAAAGACTAACACACTAGAAAGTGAAGGGACGACGACGTCTCGGTCCGTCCTGGACCATTCTCAAGTCGATTGTGAGAATGGTCCAGGAATGGTGCCACCATTTAACATTCACCTCAGTATTTCCTCCAGGAACAAGGCCATTACACCGACCAAAGCTGTAAGTGAGCGGAAGCAATTCTCTCCCTTCTTGCGTAATCGTTAATAAAAACTTCTCGTGAGCAAATATGTGATAGGTAATTTAGAAATTAGATCTTAGAATATAGAATATAGGATATATAATATAGGCCACGCCGAGTCAAGATCATTATCTTCGCCATGAATGCCGAGATGAAAGGAGGTTTACAAGTTTATATTATTTAATAAAAGTAAGTTTTATTACGCTTCGGGCACGGGTGGGGGTTGGGGGGTTGGGGGGAGGTTTGGGTGGTGGAGGGGTGTTATAGGGGGTGTTGTAGGGGGTGGGGGGAAGGATGGGGGGGATTGCAGTTGGAGATTTATAAAATACAAATCTCCTGTCATCTTTAAGCTGGTAGCAAGACCGTTCGCAATCCTTGGCTTACGTCCAATTCCACGGAGGCTTGAGAGCAGTTAACGACAGCCTCTCAACACCTGATCCTCAGCACTTTACGGCACTTTCTCAACACTTTAGTGGATTCAAAACATCTTCCGAAACATTTTCATCACTTTGCAAAATCTTCTAAATTCTGTGTAAATAATTTTTAACATCCTACGAAGGGGCGTCTGCCCCCCCCCCTACGAATGGAGTCTCCCCACCTAACGAAAGGGGTCTACATACACACTTGTAGAGCCAGTATACCTCAGAGGTATACTCACATCATCTAGCCAAACATCTGGCGGCGGAAGTGATGCTCTGGAGCACAAACAGTCTTCAGCGAAGGTAATCCCAGTTGAGATTACATCCCCCTCGTGTCAAACACACCCCCATGCACTCCCCCGACCCGCGATGCTCTGGAGCACAAACAGTCTTCAGCGAAGGTAATCCCAGTTGAGATTACATCCCCCTCGTGTCAAACACACCCCCATGCACTCCCCCGACCCGCGATGCTCTGGAGCACAAACAGTCTTCAACGAAGGTAATCCCAGTTGAGATTACATCCCCCTCGTGTCAAACACACCCCCATGCACTCCCCCGACCCGCGATGCTCTGGAGCACAGTCTTCAGCGAAGGTAATCCCAGTTGAGATTACATCCCCCTCGTGTCAAACACACCCCCATGCACTCCCCCGACCCGCGATGCTCTGGAGCACAAACAGTCTTCAGCGAAGGTAATCCCAGTTGAGATTACATCCCCCTCGTGTCAAACACACCCCCATGCACTCCCCCGACCCGCCACCACCACCTCTGACCATCAACCATGAAATGAGTTCCGGGCCATATATGCCGATCCCTGATCTATGCCCCAACGCTGATCTCCGACCATATGATCTAGTGTGACCCCTCCGTCGACCTTTCCTAGACGCTAGTACGTCTAGTTCTGGACGTTATGGTCTTCCCTCAAACGTATAAAAATTAGAAAATGCTATGACTAGGGAGCCGGTCGGCCGAGCGGACAGCACACTGGACTTGTAATCCTGTGGTCCTGGGTTCGATCCCCGGCGCCGGAGAGAAACAATAGGCAGAGTTTCTTTCACCCTATGCCCCTGTTACCTAGCAGTAAAATAGGTACTTGGGAGTTAGTCAGCTGTCACGGGCTGCTTCCTGGGGGTGGAGACCGGGCCGCGGGGACACTAAAGCCCCGAAATCATCTCAAGATAACCTCAAGATAGACTAAATACCGGCTCTCAAATATCCACGTTTTCTATGGATCGGTCTTAATAGGCTGCGTGTGTTGCTTGCAACCCGTTCTCGCACTTGCTTACAGTCAATATTGGCTTATTAAATAAGTGCATATGTGACATACTAATTGATTGTGAATATTTTAGTTTACCTTGAAAAGCTTCATAGAAAACACCGACCTCACCTAACCTTCTTAGTATGTTAAGATAAGCATCTTATTGCGTCTTAATTACAATTATTACTTAACCTATACCGTTGATAGGCTGACTGCTCAACACTGAGAGCTTCAGCTATGACCTGGTACCTCTGACCTGACCTGTCACAACTAGTAAACTTTCTCTTGGGAAAGTACTCTAAACTTTCATTCAAATCAGCCAGAAAATGATGAAGTATTTTGGTATTAAAACAGATAGGGAGAGGCATAAGAAAAACACACTCTGCCATACACAACCAAACACAAGACAAATTAAACAGACACAACCAAACACAGACACAACCAATACACAACCCAAACACAGACACAACCAAACACAGACAACCAAACACAGACACAACCAAACACAGACAACCAAACACAGACACAACCAAACACAGACACAACCAAACACAGACAACCAAACACAGACACAACCAAACACAGACAACCAAACACAGACACAACCAAACACAGACAACCAAACACAGACACAACCAAACACAGACACAACCAAACACAGACAACCAAACACAGACAACCAAACACAGACACAACCAAACACAGACAACCAAACACAGACACAACCAAACACAGACAACCAAACACAGACACAACCAAACACAGACAACCAAACACAGACAACCAAACACAGACACAACCAAACACAGACAACCAAACACAGACAACCAAACACAGACACAATCAAACACAGACAACCAAACACAGACACAATCAAACACAGACAACCAAACACAGACAACCAAACACAGACAACCAAACACAGACAACCAAACACAGACAACCAAACACAGACACAACCAAACACAGACACAACCAAACACAGACAACCAAACACAGACACAACCAAACACAGACAACCAAACACAGACAACCAAACACAGACAACCAAACACAGACACAACCAAACACAGACACAACCAAACACAGACACACTCAAACACAGACAACCAAACACAGACACAACCAAACACAGACACAACCAAACACAGACACACTCAAACACAGACAACCAAACACAGACAACCAAACACAGACACAATCAAACACAGACAACCAAACACAGACACAACCAAACACAGACACAACCAAACACAGACAACCAAACACAGACACAACCAAACACAGACAACCAAACACAGACACAACCAAACACAGACAACCAAACACAGACAACCAAACACAGACACAATCAAACACAGACAACCAAACACAGACACAACCAAACACAGACAACCAAACACAGACACAACCAAACACAGACACAACCAAACACAGACACAACCAAACACAGACACAACCAAACACAGACAACCAAACACAGACACAACCAAACACAGACACAACCAAACACAGACACAACCAAACACAGACACAATCAAACACAGACAACCAAACACAGACACAACCAAACACAGACAACCAAACACAGACACAACCAAACACAGACAACCAAACACAGACACAACCAAACACAGACAACCAAACACAGACACAACCAAACACAGACACAATCAAACACAGACAACCAAACACAGACACAACCAAACACAGACAACCAAACACAGACACAACCAAACACAGACAACCAAACACAGACAACCAAACACAGACACAATCAAACACAGACAACCAAACACAGACACAACCAAACACAGACAACCAAACACAGACACAACCAAACACAGACAACCAAACACAGACACAACCAAACACAGACACAACCAAACACAGACAACCAAACACAGACAACCAAACACAGACACAACCAAACACAGACAACCAAACACAGACACAACCAAACACAGACACAACCAAACACAGACAACCAAACACAGACACAACCAAACACAGACAACCAAACAGACACAACCAAACACAGACAACCAAACACAGACACAACCAAACACAGACACAATCAAACACAGACACAACCAAACACAGACAGAACCAAACACAGACAACCAAACACAGACACAACCAAACACAGACAACCAAACACAGACACAACCAAACACAGACACAATCAAACACAGACAACCAAACACAGACACAACCAAACACAGACAACCAAACACAGACACAACCAAACACAGACAACCAAACACAGACAACCAAACACAGACACAACCAAACACAGACAACCAAACACAGACACAACCAAACACAGACACAACCAAACACAGACAACCAAACACAGACACAACCAAACACAGACAACCAAACACAGACACAACCAAACACAGACAACCAAACACAGACACAACCAAACACAGACACAATCAAACACAGACACAACCAAACACAGACACAACCAAACACAGACAACCAAACACAGACACAACCAAACACAGACAACCAAACACAGACACAACCAAACACAGACACAATCAAACACAGACACAACCAAACACAGACACAACCAAACACAGACAACCAAACACAGACACAACCCAAACACAGACACAAGCCAAACACAGACACAACCATACACAAGCCAAACACAGACACAAGCCAAACACAGACACAACCATACACAAGCCAAACACAGACACAACCAAACACAATCAAACACAACCAAACACAGACACAATCAAACACAGACACAACCAAACACAGACACAATCAAACACAGACACAACCAAACACAGACACAACCAAACACAATCAAACAACCAAACACAGACACAATCAAACACAGACACAACCAAACACAGACACAACCAATACACAACCCAAACACAGACACGACACAGACACAACCAAACACAGACACAATCAAACACAGACACAACCAAGCACATACACACCCAAACACAGACACAACCAAACACAGACACAACCAAGCACAGACACAACCAAACACAGACACAACCAAACACAGACACAACCAAGCACATACACACCCAAACACAGACACAACCAAACACAGACACAACCAAACACAGACACACCCAAACACAGACACAACCATA